GGTCGCGGGCGCCCTGCGCGGGCAGGTGTTGAGCAAGCGCTCGTGGTGCCGCCGTATCCGGCGTTGCTGTTTGGTGCTCCCCCTTCTTCTCCGTGCGCTCCGTTGCCCAGTTAGCCCCCGCGCTGGCTTTCGTCCGGGTGAATAAAGACCTCTGTACGGTCCTTCGTTTTCGTCGGTTTTTAATACCCAGTGGAACGTCTATTTGCGATATTTACTGCAACGTGGGTTTAAAAGCGCTGCTCGGTAAGTCCGCTGCTTGTGTTTTCTTTGGTTTTATTGATGCTTCTCTGTTCTGCTAAAATTTTGTTAAAAGCTGAAATGTTGCCTCATAGACTGAAAGAAACAAAATCTGTGAGGCCAGCGAAAAGCAACGTCGGTGTATTTGTTAGCACCAAGTGGATTATAATCACAGGAAATCATAGGTGTGCTTTATGGAGTCCACAGGTTGTAAAAGTAGGCTGCCCTATGTGAAGAAGGAGAATTTTATCTTAAATTTTTCTGGCAGCACATAGTGTGCAATGAGTTCAGTGCTGTAATGAGGAAGTGCAGGCAGGGTGATAGCTTTCCAAACAAAACTAGGAATTGGTGTGAAATATGAGATGACAAGACCAGGGAAGGAAAGTTTCTGTGAAATATATGAGTAGAATGCCTCGGTCGTTTGCCCTTGGCTTCCCTTGTGGTTTCTTTTGTGGAGAAAGATTGCCAAGCCCTCTCCCCTACTTTGGCCTGCTTCTAGTTTGAACTCTCCACATGGGCAGCCAGTTCTCTAAGCATATAAAGAGCTATTTCTCTTCTCTTTTAAACAATGTTTAAATTATTCTGAAGAAAGTCAATTAATATGCTTAATAACACTTTGACCCCAGAAACTTTTTTTTTTTATGGAGGTAAGTAAATTTGGCCTTTTGGGCAGCAGTTCCCAAATCATGTGCTCACTCAAACTGTAGTCTTTGGTGTTTTGTTTAAACATCATCTTAAATAATGGATTGTTCTAATGATTTAACCACGTAACTAGAAAATCTTAACTCATGTAGTGTACTGGCATGAAAGGCTGTTAGCTGTGTGACCTTCTGAAGTTTGACACCAAAATTAAGCTGTGCGTGCTCCATCAGCTGCCCTCAGATTCGTGGTGATAGAATTATAAATGTGTCTGTGCTCTGGGAGGGCTGGCAGGCCCTCAGCCTATCCAGTAAAAGTGGAGAAGTGTATTTGTATTTCTTCTTTAGCTAGTGTGATAAATTTACACCGAATTCAGGTCATGTCCTTAACACTTGTTACAAAACAACTTTATATCACTTTTTTTTTCAGGTAGGCTTTTGTTTTCATTAGTGGTTTTCACTTTGGTTCTAGTTTAGAGCACTTTGCACTTTTATATGCAGATCTTCTGAGATCATGTTTGGCTGTTGTGCAGATAATGCCTCTCCATCTCATTCCACCCCATGCTGATAAAACAATTTTGTTTGACTTCATGGTTATTTGGTACTTGCAACTGTCCCAGTTTTGCCTTTCATGTTTCTGTTCACTTGTCAAAAGTTGAACAGCAGTTGTAGACGTAGTTGCTTAGAGATCATACTAGGAGGCTGAGCTACCTGGGAGGAGCATCTCTGTTCTTCAGAATAACCAAATTTTACCATTTCCCTTTCTTTATTTAATTGGTAATAATGAAGTCTGATGTCAGCTCAACAGAGTAAGTATTAAGATTGCATACAGTTATGCAACTGCCTCAAGTGTGTGCACAACCACATTTATCAAAGCTCCAGCAAAAATGAAGTGCAGAGCCTTTTCAGGCTTTTCGGAGCTGTGTACTGTAGATAGAAGCTAAGACCTTCTGATTGATCTTAAAAGCTAAAACACTTGACGTAGGCCTTGAGGTTTTGGTTTGCACATGTGTCTCGTTGCTGAAATGTGTTTAAAAAGTTAAAGCATCACTGTGACCAGATAGGTTCAGTAGTCTGTTAGTGTTGCAGCTTAAATATGTGAGTAATACCAATTTAATGATACACTTGCACACAATGTTTTAATCTCGTATCTGCTTTTAGGTCTCCCTTTTTATTTTGTAGATATGCATGGTCATACAGTGTCATTACAATCTGAGTCTTCCAAGGGAAAGTGGAACAAAAGTGGAATTTTGTTAGATTGTTATTTGAAATTGATAATTTAGGGAGAACAAAAATCAAGATGTGGGTGTGATTGAAGCCAGGCAGTTTGAAAATGAGAAAACAAATACTCAATTTATGCATCTCGCCAACAGGCAGCACACTATTACTTTTTTAAAGTTATTGTGATCATTTCAGCTATTTCTGTTACTTTCTAGAATTTCTGACTTTATGTTCCTTCCTTTTGTAGAGATCAATGTTTATTGAAACCACTTGGATTTTGAAAAGTTAGCCAGCTATTTTCAACTTTGGCAAGCAAAATAATGTGTCTGTGACTGTTTTGAGGGTTTAAAGAAATTGAAAATGTAGAAAATAGCAGACACTGTGCGTTTGGGAAAGCTCCACAAGACCTAACTTGTTGTGTTCCATGCAGATTTTGAAATCTTTCACTGAGTTTGTTTTCAGCAACCCCTCCCCTGCCACGATGGCTATAGCATTTGGGAGATTGCTCTGCGAGTGAAAGAAAAATAATGGCGGCTAGAGGAAACAGTGTGGATGTTTGCCCTTTTTTGCTAAAAGGGTGGAGAGGGGGCTTTTAAAATCAGAAGAATGAACTTTACTTCATTTGTAAACAAATGTTAGCAGTGAGCTGGAAATGGATATAACTTAGGTCACTATATAAGTGTGTATAAGTTTTATCAGTCAGCTTCTCTTCAGAATCTTTTTTTATAAACTTGTAGTATTTTTATAGTATTTAATGTTACTTTATGCATAGTATCTGGCTAAAAAGATACGTGTCTTTGGTGTCTTCATAAGACTTCATATTGACTGGGTTAAGAGGTGCTTGGCAGGTGTTAATTCATATGAAACTTTTCACCAGAGTTGCACTGAGCACTTCTATAGCTGGCCACATGGCTGCATAACTGTGCTAGATGTTATTTTTATGTTGTTCAGTACTGACAAAAATAAACACAAGGTGATTCCGATCTAAAGTAGCAAAGTAATACTCTGAGGGCTAAACTTCGGTTGATCTCCTCTTACTGTGGCATCAGTTTACAACCTAATCTGGCTGATAGGAGCTGCCTGTGAAATCTGATTTCCTATTTGCCCAAACTAATTTGTGATATCTTGAGTGACTGCTTAAAAAAAAAAAACAAAAAAGAATCTAAAAGCTAACAATATAAATTTAGTAACCCATTAGAAAGTGTTTTCTGAGTTTACAGGATTGAACAGAAAGCCATCTATGTGTATGGCATAGTTGTCTGTCTGTAGCTGCTTAGGTGTCTTGCTTGGTTTGTGAGGAAAAATTTGAAAAATATGCAACCTTGGATGTTTACGCTTCTAATCCTGGGATTATTCTTTCACACTCTTCATTTGGTGCTTAATTTTGAAAATGTTTAATTCTGATTCTCACCCTGAGCCTCAAGTCATGCTTACTCTAGCAGCTTGTATAAAAAGGAGAGGAAAAAAAAAGGAAAACAACACTTCACCTTGTGCCTGTTCTGAGACCTGTTTGATCTCCATGCATCATTTTGAAATTTAGCTGCAAAAAAACTGGCTGTCATGAGTGCCAATAGCAGAATGTCATCTCTTAAATTCCCTGAAGCTTATTTCTCCCTTGGAAGGTAGAATTGGTAATTTTGGACCGACTGTGTTCTCTTGCAATAGTTTGTGATGTTCTAAGATGTTTGTGTAACTTCTTGAATGAATATACTCTATACACTATTAATAATGAATTTGAGAAGCACCATTGAGATCACAGTTTGTCTTACATGAAAGATTTTTAGTTATGTTTTTGAAAATATGTGATGTTGATAGTTACGTGAAAGCTTTTAAAGCAAATCTCAAGATGTAATAACTAGATTTATCTTAAATTTGTCTATGGATATCAATATCTTAAATATCTATGAATCAACAGCTCTTTGAAGCAAATTAAAAATTCACCTTTCATTATATTCCATATTACTGAGTCTTTTTTTTGCCTGGGTGGTGAAAAGGGACTTATTAAATTTACTATCGGTTAGCACTTTATCTCAGCTTTAGTGCTGTGCTGCTAGAGATTAAACTTGTTTCTGAACAATATTTTGAAAAAGAAGATCCTAGAGATTACTAGGGATAGGCACCAAATCGTGTTTACTCCTAAGCTTAATGCAAATTTGTGCACTGAGTTCTGTTAATGATTATATGTCTGCAAGAAATAGTGTAATGGGTGGTGGAGCTCTTTCTCACTTCATGGGAAACTTTAAGGCACTGTAATGCAAAACCAGCTTGTGGTATGTGTACATAGCATGTTGTCTATTTTCTGTATGTTTTTTTTGGGCGAGGAGGAGCTATTCACAATAGCAGCAGTTGATTAGCAAGCTCTTTATTTACAGACTAATAGATTGAAGGGATTGGTGCTTTGTTTTTCCATTAACATCATAAAGTCTGTATTCTTATTCACATATTCAGCTCATGTATGTCTATTCTTCTTAACTTTTGTGCCCGTTTTAACTTTATGCAGATAAGTGATCTCCCTACCATGAATACTAAGTCTTCTCATTTCCCATTTGGGGAAAGGAGAGAGAGAAGTGGGGAAAAAAAAAAAAGTTGGGTTTTTTTTAGTCATCTACCTCATGGTTTCTTCCTTTTCCCCTTACCTCCTCAGATGCTACTAGGGCATTTGCTGCTTTTCACCGTGAAGTTTTGTGGGATGCTGATAGGCATACCGTTGTTTTTTGGGGGTCAGAAAAGTAATGCTGATTGCTAGTGAACAAGGAGGAGTGCTCTTCTGGTACAGCAGATGGATTAGCCTTGCAGAGGTGGGAATAATGGTGATAGCAGAGGAGCGAATGATGCTCAATTTTGTTTGTTTTTTTCCTTTCCATAAGGATAGGATTTAAAAAAAAAAATTTGGCAGCAAAAGCATGGGCAGGAAGTGCTTTTGTAGCAGAAGTTTCTTTGAAGAGCTCAGACTGCTGTGTTTTTCATGCAGAGCTGTTAGTGTGTATTTGCAAAGCTCGGAGCAGAGCTTGAATAGTGCTATATACTTCGCAGCATCTGATACAGAGTTGCAGAGGTTGCCTGAGCAGTAGGTGTCTTTCACATGGTATCCCAGGATGAGACCCAGCAAACTTTATCATCGGCTCACACCTTTACCGATGTTACTGCTGAGTAGCAGCTGCCTTGCTTGTACCTACCCTTCCATACTGGCCCTTTTACATGCAGGGGGAAATCCTGTATGTGCTAATACTGGTTATCCTGTAAAGGAATAGAGCTGACTACTTTTAGGCTGATTTTTTGTTTGTTTTTTGTTACCCAGCTTCATTCCATATTCCCTTCCTCCTAGGGTATCAGATGTCTTCCACACTGTATTTTTACAGGATCTTTGTAGTGTTATTTTCCTTCCACTTTGGAGCTTTCTATTATGAGCATACTCTCAAACTTCTTTGTTTCGCAGCTTCAGCATTTATAGTGCCCTTTCTTAATATTTAACTTTCGCATAAAGAGAAGTTTGTTTTTACGTAGAAAAAAAAGTGTCAAGATCCCTTGAACTTTTAATGCTACAGATTTTTGTATGTCAAAAGTGGGGTCTCTGTTGAATGATGTCTCTGTATCATTGCCTATATTTGACTGCGTGTAAAAGCTGCTCTTTATTCAGGCTCTTTCAAACTTCTAGAAAAGGCAGGCTTGCTGAATAAGCTGTTTAGTTCCAGATGAACAGATATTGTTAGATAACAAAAAATCAAATTAATTAAAGACCTTTCTGTTAGCAATTATGCAGATGAGGGAAATAAGTATTATAGCTTGTTTACTTGAAATTCAGATTTTCTTTTACTGATACCTACTGTGATCTGAGCATGTGTATTCATTTGTGAATATAATGCAGTCTACTGTCTCATCCATAAAATGCAAATATGTATGAAAATGAGCTCTTTGGGTAGCTAAATGGAATACGTACATCAGGCAGTGTCTTATGTATTGCTTGTACGTCAAGCCAACTGAGGAAATAAGTCTGACGTCAGATACTGGAGACGGCAGAAGGGGAAAGCATTTACTTGTAAGGGTAGAGCTGTGGCAGAAACTTGTCTTATAGGATGTGTCATACTGTTGCTGGGTGATTGGTGTTTTTTTTTTTTTTTTTTCCCTTTTGCCAGAAGTGTGATGATGTTTGGTTACTCCTTATGTAATATTTGCATGTGAACTGCAAAAATAGGAGAGCTGTTGCCTACATCCATTTTTCAGTTATTAAAGTGACTTTAGATGATGTATCTATTAAATAATGGATTTGTGTTGCCTCAGGAGTCTAGGGCCTTTTCTGACATTTATTTGGATAACTGAATATCTTTATTAAAAAAGAAGCAGTTGGCTTGATTGCATGTGGAAACAGAAAAAAATACTGCATATACACAAACTAGGATAAAAAGGCAGTAAAAAGGCTTGATATATATACATATTTTCCCAGAAGTTTCCATTTTTCATGCTCTTCTGGAGCTGAATTTCTAGAATATCCAAGCTGCTTTGATACTTCTGCTGGACAGACAACCATGTTAGGTCTTGCTTTTAATTATGATGATTTCTAATTTCCAGGCAACTCATTTCTTTAGGCACTACCACCTGCCTTTTTTTCCTTCCCTTGACACTTTAATCATATTTTCAATAGGTTTTATTCTGTGTACCATAATACTGCTTTACTCTGTGCTTGTTTAATAACTATATGAGCAGCAGCATTCACAGAGGTTTGCTGTTTTTATCGTATGGTGACTTTCTTTACAGTTAAATCTAACAGAAGTTATGGCAGTAGCTTCATTTAAATCCTAGTCATGACAAAACTTTAAATCTGTTTTTTTGGTTTGTGTTTTGATTAAAAAAAAAAAAAAAGTTGCAGCAACCTCAGGCCCAACACTGCATAGCACTTTTTTGTCTTGCATATTTGAGTAGTATACAGTTATTTGCAACAGTATAATTTAAGTGATTGGTACACATGAGAGGCAAGGGAAATATTTTTTTGTTTTGTTTAGATCTTTAATTGCTTCCTTGTTGTTTTGAGGTTTAGGTGCTTTCATGTATCATTGTAAAAACATTGTGAGAAACTTTGATAGGAGACTGGTGGGTTTTTTGCCCTTAATGGGACAGGTTTGAATCATGTCTACATTTTCCTCTTAAGTTAATCAAATGTATTAAAGAAGGGGTAGCAGTGTACTGAGGTTGGTAGAAGGTGGAGTTGAATTGAACAGTTTGAGGGGAAAAAAGAAAGGATTCTTCAGTAATCCATGTCTTCACTGAGTACGATAGGGATGACAGAAGGACACAGTCAGTGTGTGAATGGTGGTAACTTAAAAAGTAAAGAGGAGATAATGGAGGAATGATGGAGATGGGGAAGGAGCCTGAAGAACTTATCCCAAACTGCCCAATTGAATTACTGAAGGGAGTTGTTGCAGAACAAAATTGTGAAATGTTTCCTCCTACTGGCTTTCTATAAGATCTGAGGGAGAGCCTGCCCCTTTGTTTTGATGGTGTTTCATGCTTCTTCAGTTGTATGTTTAATTTCATCATTTTGAAGTTATTTTGCTTGTAGTGCTGATAAAAGTGACCTGTACATTTAACAACAGCACTGACAAAAAAAGCATCCAGGACTTAAAGGAATCTATTTGATTTTATGGAGTGCTCTGGGAAGGCAACAGTACCCATGACATGGGGCATATGTATATCCCATAGTTGTCTTCATTTTCCTTTAAAATACTAAGGAAAAATGTTGTTTTTTCTATTTTTAAAAAAATTATAAACCTTGACTTATATTCTGAATTTTCTCTGTTTTGTAATATTGCATGTTAATTATCTGCAGTTAATTCTGTGTTTTGTCATATTGCATACTACTCTGACAGCTAATAGATATCAAAAGCATGGGAAGTTGAATGTCATTTTTGAATAAAAAATGGTGCTTGCATTATAGAAATAGCTACTGGGGGAGAGTGTTTAAAAGCACACATTGAAGTGTGTGTGTAATTGTAAAACTAATTTGTCTTTTTCCTTCCAAAGAGAGTATGTGTGCTGTGTGGTTTGGAATTTCTCATACTTCATTTAGCATAGGGTATTTTTTTTTCCACTGTGTTTTATTGACCCCTGTTTTGAGTCTGGTGGAGATTGACCCATTTCAGTTAAATGTGGGGACCTGATGAATGTATGGTTTCAGATATCAAAACTCCAAAGAAAGACATTGGGATTGTTCTCCAAGTGCTCATGTGTGGGGTGACGGGCAGGAGAAGCTGAATCTTGGGCTTGGTTTGCAATTCAAGCCTATGGACTGTGGGAGTGATGGTATCATGATGTTTTCCTCCATGTGCTGCTCTTGGTGCTTCTCTGTAGAGGGGGTGAGGCCACTTCAGACAACTGCTGCAGGCAGTGACAATTGGATTTTGGGAGAGGAGACTGTCCTCTGCCCTCTCTTTCTTGCCTCAGCTTGCTTTGGCTTCAGAGGGGTGCCCCTGATGCAGCAAGAACAAACAGCAGGACTGTGCTGCTTTTGCTAAGATTTGAGCAGAAGCCTTCTACTTTTCAGAGCCTGGGGCTAACTTGGTCCTTAGTATGAGTCTTCCCTTCCTTATATTGCTTTCAGGGGCTCGTTAGTTGCAGAAGCAATACAGTATACAGACATGGGGAGCAGAACCTTATGAGAAGGTCATAAATGCTTGCGAAAGAACGGAGTGGGAAAATACAGTAAATTTTTTCCTCTCAGCAACTTCAGTTCAGCTGATTTATTGTAAGTAACTTTCCATGAATGTGTTTTTAAACTCATGCAGTTTCTCTTTCAGCTCATGTAAAGTTTCAACATCTGCAACCTCCCTATAGTAGGGAGCTCCACAGGTTAATAGGAAAAGCCAGCTCCTGTAATGTATTTTGGTCCTGCTTGCCACATGCCTAGATGCTCCCCCACTCTCTCCCTCCTCAGCCTTGTCCCTTCTTTATAAGCTGAAGTGACCTAGTTCGATTCACTGATCCTTATGCAAAGTCTATTCCATTACTTAGCATTCGCTGCCCTTAAAGCTTTTCCAGTGTTTCTGTATCCCCTTTGAACACAGACGTGGGTAGGTACCAGAACAGCGTGCAGTTTTAAAGACACAGGGGTGTGCGTAACCTCTCCTAACATTTGACTTGCTTACTTGTCCGCTGCTGGTAAGCACTGAGGCGACTGTCTCATGAGAACATCTGCTGTAACCACACAGTCTTGCTGTTAGGTGGTAATTGACAATTTGAAGGCTTCCATATTAAATGTTTCAACTGTTTATTCCCTGAGTACTGCTGTATGTTTATCTGCACCTAACTTCACTCAATATAGTAACCTCCTTTTGCATTTCTTTATGGTTAGAGCTTTATCCTACTAGGAAAAAGTAGTATCACAGAACATTGCCTCGTTCTCATTTATAAACATACCTGTACTATGGCTCTCAGCACAACGTGTTGTAGAATGTCTCAGTAGGAACTGATGGCTTGTTGCTACCTTCATTTTTAACCGTTTAGAGGCTAAAACCACTGAAAGGACATTCAGTCTGCTTAGTTTCTCTTAAGGTGTTTGTGATTTCCTGTGCAAGTGACTTTGTTGAAAGCATTGCAGAGACCTCGCAGTAGATATGTGAGGCAGTGCTTCCTCTTCCCTTTAAGTGGAAAAGAATTTATATTCAAAGCTACTAATTTTGTTCTTAGTTACATTAGGTATTTGCCATTTTCAAACTAATAGACGTTCAAACGGGAATTATTAAAATTAATCTACTAAAAAGACAAAATATGATTTTGAAATACAAATTGATTTCAGCTGCTGGTAAGTTACTGATCTCATTCTCCATAATTGCTTTACTTTGATACAAAATGCTGTTGTTCCCTTTCAGAAATGAGACATTGACCCATGCATGTTGCAGTGAGCCTTAAAGCTGGCCTCTGAGCTTTGGAACCAACAGTGCAGGCCCCTTAGTCTGCGATGGGGGGTTGGACAAATCTAAGAGGGATTCGCAGAACTTAAAGAAGTCAAAGTCCTAGAGAGGAATTCAGCTGAGGGGGGTTTGTTTATTGATTTTTGTTTTTTGTTTGTTTTCTTCAGTCTGTGCTTTGTTAGTTAACCGTGCTTTGCCTTTTTTTGGCTTTCTTGGCATCAGTTACCTGTTTCAGTATCCTACAAGGTACTTGAGTGTTTTCTTTGCGATGCGGCTGATGGCATGGTGCTTCACTGCCTGTGGAGTTCTCACTTCTCAGGATTAGTTAGGTTTTCTCAGTAGAAGAGTGTCTGAAGCCCTAGAGGGTATCTAGGCCGCTCTTCTGCTTCTTTGGAAGCTGTGCCATTGCACTGAAAAAATACCAGAACCGTGAGTGAGCAAAAGGAGCCTGACTACAGTGCAGTGTGATGAGGTATGTGCCAAAAAGTGGAAGAAACGACCATCTCTGCTCAGTGCTGCCTCTGAGTCACCTATCGGCTGCTGACTGAAGGGGGAAGACGGACCCAAAGCCCTTCCCTTCTCCTTGCTGGAGGAGTACAGGATGAAGACTTCCTGAATTAGTGGGTACCTCTACCAACAGCTGTTTCACTCATAGCTGTGACACTTACGCTTTGTCCTCAACTAAGTGCTGCTTTGTCTTTTTATTTTTATTTTTTATTTTTACTTTTTTAAATATATATGTATATATACATACCTGTGTGTGTAATGTGTTGCTCTCCGAACTAGAGTGAGCCTTTCAGGGGACTTGAGTCTGGAGACACCTGCTTAAGAGTATAAGAAAGTCTTCGCTTTGAACATCTCCCAGTGTGGGCATAGGCAGTACCAGAAATTTAGATATTCGTGGATTTATTACTGAGAACAGGACTGGCTAGATGACCAGGCAAGGATTTAATTTCTCTGTTCAAATGTATTTCACCTTTGTATTCCTTATGGAACTGCTTCACTATTTCTAACTGTGGATCAGGAGATGATTGCGCTCAGAATGTACTTAATTGATCTGGTAACAAGCAGTGACTGTATATTTGGGTCCTCCTTTGCTGACACCAAGGTGAGAAGAGTGCAAGCTAGTCATTTTCTTCTTTGAAAGTTTTAACTGTGTATTATCTTTGACTAAAGAGTTGTTTTCTGCTGTAATACAGGGTTTTTTTTTTGTTGTTGTTTTTGTTAGGTTGTTGAAGATTACGCTGGAAGATGTCAGGTTCCCTTGCCTCAGCTTCAGGTGCTTCAGACAGCTCTCTGTTGTTTTACATCTGCCTGTGTATCATTCCCAGCCGAATGTGAGCACGTACAATACGTTTTGAGTAGCCTAGCTCTGTAAGTATATGTAATTATTATGTTTCATTTGTAGTATAGGCTGTCAATGTTGTATTTCTACGGTGGCAATAGGATCTCAGAAGAGAACTTCGTAAGAGTGGTTTTACCAAGTTAATCATCAGGAACCAACTTACACAGTGAGAGAAAGTCCTGAGGACAGAAAAGCTATAAATTCAATTGCCTTACGTCCTTGCTAATTACTCAAGTTCGATATTGTAAGACTGGTTCACAAAGTGTTTTTTTTTGTTGTTGTTCTTTTTCAAAATGAAGCATCTAAAGTGGTATGTCAAGTCACCCCCTTACAGATTTTTTTCCATTGGAAAAATATCATTTGAAATATCTGCAGACCAAATTTTGACCCAAAGTCAAATTATCTCATGTTTTTAACCATTTTGTTGCTAGTTATGTAGTAAGTATTATGAAAATGTAAATAAGATTACTATATTATTGAACAATTGAGTCAATTTAAAAATGGAGTTTTATGTTGAGCCTTCAATATGGTTATGAGAGTGATAGATAATTGACTGGAAATCATGTTCAATATGACAAAGAGCTGTAGAGTGCTAGACCATACATCTTGAGGTAATCTTGTTTCTTTTTTTTTCCCTTGATGCAGTGGCTGTTGTTCCCTCCCTAAGTGAGGTTTAAAAGTGTCTGAGTAATGATCACTAGATAACTAAAAAATCATTTTTTTACTTGCTCTAAAAATCTGAAATTAAATCTTGTGATGCGGTATAGAGCCTTAGCCTAGATAGAATGTATTTTATCTTCTCATCAGCAGATGGAGACAAAAAAATGAAGGCTGGCTTTATTGCTAGTTCTGCCTGAGTAAATTGGATTTATTTGTCCAGCAGATTAAATGGCTTGTTGAGCATTGCTCTTGAATATAGTTTGGTATTTCACTTCAGAATCTTGTTCTTACTACCAATAAGTTAGAGATGAGTCTAGTCTTCCGAGGTGAGTGCTCCTAGTCTTTTTTTCTTTGTTACTTGGTCAGAGCTGAGTTGCTTCAGAGTTGCTGCTGCTTTTTACAGTTCTGGAGCTATTGGTGCTAGTTGCACAGAATTCCAGGGTTTATCTTGTCAGTATATATAGTATGGTTGGTGAAATTTCAGCGAAGAGATATGCTTTTGTGTGTGTGTGTGTGGGGGAGATATAGAGGGAGAATTCTTAAACGTAGTAATTGGAGAATCAGATACCGATTTTTTTTTTTTAAAAAAAATGGAATGCTCAAATATCTTGGAGTGACTAGCAGTTACATCAGATGATCTCTTTATTTACTACTTTTTAGCAAAAAAAAAACCCCAAAAAACAAAAAACCAAAAAACCCCCCATACTTTTAAATGTCAGATCATTTTTTTAAAAAAAAAAAAAAAAAACCCAAAAAACAAAAAAACAAAAAAAAACCCATACTTTTAAATGTCAGATCATTTTTTTAAAAAAGGTAGAAATTTAGATATTTATATTATATTTAGGGTGCATCCTGTCCCTATGAGTTAACTGATCACTGAGCTCTTTCACACTTGGTCTTCAATTTGTGTACTTGGGTTTTGGAACTGGGTTTATTTACTGAGAGTTTTCTTTTCTTCTAGAGTTAAGGGATATGAGCTTTTTCTTTTCTCCTTCTGAATCTGCTTTGTTAGGTTAGATCTGCATGTGATATAAAGTGATTCTAGAACTTAGCAGTTATCTGGGGAAACCTTATTCAAATCTGGCCTTTCAAAACTTGGTGTATACTAAGCCCTAGTTCTTAGACAAAGGAATCTGCCTGAGCCCATATTGCCATAGCCAAGTAAGGTTTCCTTGGTAAGCAGACAACAAATTTCTAACGGCAGGGACTGTTGCATCCTCTCTACTTGTTAGCCGTGCTGTTCATCGCAAAGGGAGCAGCATCTGTACGTACATTAACCGCAGTGGTTTGTCTTTTTTAATGGTGCCTTTATACTAGTGTTCTTGGGCAATTTTCTGATGCCTGTAATTTCATCTGAAGAGATGATGTGATAAGTCGAAGCACCATCGCTACTAGCAGGGTAGATGTAAATACGGGTGTGCAGTGCTGCAGGCTGCTCTGAGGTGCAAGAGCCCTGCTGGAACTGGCCACCGTAATCCTGACTGAACAGAGGCTGGGGATTAGGCAACGTCACTATTTTGATAGCTTCCTTCCTTGGTTGGATAAGAGCATGAAGCAGGTGCAGTGAA